ATGTTGATCACAAGACCCCATGTTGATCACAAGACCCCATGTTGACCACAAGACCCCATGTTGATCACAAGACCCCATGTTGATCACAAGACCCCAATGTTGATCACAAGACCCCATGTTGATCACAAGACCCCATGTTGACCCCAAGACCCCATGTTGATCACAAGACCCCATGTTGATCACAAGACCCCAATGTTGATCACAAGACCCCATGTTGACCACAAGACCCCATGTTGATAACTCCTGATTACCAATCAGATTTGTTGAACTGCTCCCAACTGAGGCACCTAAGTGATAATCTCTATTCAGGGGCGTTGGATTGAGCAAAAGACTTTACTTCTGTACAATCAGGGGCGTAGGGAAGAGGGCGGAGAAGCCACCTGACCTGGAGGTGCGAGGTGGTGGGGGTGGAGGAGGAGGGAAGTTTTAGCTTCAGAAGTTGTTGTTTTTTCGTTGGGCGGAGAGGGGGGGGGGTGGCAACAAAAATTTTGGCCGCTCCGAACGGCACTAACCCTAGCAACGCCACTACTTTTATCATATTTGCCTTTGATGCTCACCTTGCCCCCTTCCCCCCCCAAAAAAAACGGCCACGCTCATGTGTGGCTGAATGCGTGCTGAGCACGTGCAACCCTCTCTTAATAAGTCTTGGAAATGTGGGTCGTTTCGGGAGGGGGGGGGGGGCACGTGGTTGGGTAAAAAAAAAAAAAAAAAAAAAAAAGCGAAAAACAACCAGCATATTTATTTACTAAAAAAGTTATCAAAGAAGGTGACGTTTAACAAAAAAGATAGGTACATCGGACCTAATGCGCACATATTGTTCGAATCACACAAACCAAGCAGCAAAAAAAGGTTGGTGAGATTTGTGAAACTGGCACTTGGCTTTCAAGATATCATCAATGTTTGGTTTGGAATTGCTGCATACCATCAAAAGAATTGTTTTCAAATGTTCATCAATCCCTCTTGTTCGATGTGTTGACTTTACAAATTTTATATTTGAAAATGTTTGCTCACAGACGTAAGTTGTATCCATGCATGCTGCAAACGGATGCCCACTCTTTCGTTATATCAAAGTCCCAAATAATACCAAAAATAAACACGAGAAGTTGTGAGAGATCAGTGCCATCCAGTGCCAGAGAATACCGCTGCAAGTTCCTAACCTTCTCAAGTATCTGTAGCACTATCATGGGCGCCCGCAGAAAACTTTCTAGGGGAGGGGGGGGGGACAAAAAAAATCGATTTAACTTTTGGGGGGGGGGGCAAAAAATTTTTTAGTAATGTTTTAATATAGTTTTAATTTACTTTAGCGTATTTGTATGGTGAACGAACGGGCAGGACATCAGCTTAGTTACTTTCTCTTTATTTTCTCTTTACTTTAATAAATTTTTTGTCTATTTTTGTCTAAAATGTTTTTTTATACAATCAATCCAGGGGGGGGGGGGCTCGTACCCCCTCCCCCTTGCGGGCGCCCATGAGCACTATATGTTCTTTCCAAGTTCTTCTGTTCTCCGCAGAACTGAAGTTGCCGAAAGGCTGTTCGTTCCAACCGCGGCGACTACGATTTTTTTTAAATGTCCCTTTATGTTTCAACACTCCTATTTCTTTCACCCTTCACCCATGTACAGTTTGTGGTAGTTATCATAATCAGTTCCAACCGCGGCGACTACGATTTTTTTTAAATGTCCCTTTATGTTTCAACACTCCTATTTCTTTCACCCTTCACCCATGTACAGTTTGTGGTAGTTATCATAATCAGTTCCAACCGCGGCGACTACGATTTTTTTTAAATGTCCCTTTATGTTTCAACACTCCTATTTCTTTCACCCTTCACCCATGTTCAGTTTGTGGTAGTTATCAGAACATAATAATTTAGCGGCAATAGGCTTAACATAAATTAATTCTTATTTTATTTTTTTACCAGCTTTTCCTAAAAACAACAACCTCTTGTTACTTGGTAGGTTTTTTTTAAAATGATGTCAACATTTGTTAATTATTTCTTATTCAAATACATCTTGTTTCATGCTGCTCTGAGATCGGGTTTGAACCACGTTAAATTTCACCAGTAATTTTATTTTTACCAGTGATGGAGTGCGAAAAAAATGTGACCTGTACGTCCATTCCAGAGACATTTATATCAGTAGCAAGACATGTCTGCAAAACAAAGTGACCTCAGATTGTATTATAAAGGTTGGTCATCAGGGTCACCTACTTTTAGAAGTTAACTTTTTTCACGCCATGTTAAGTCGATACCATTTGGCACTGCTATGCGAGTAGTTGATGCATTCATTCGACATACTGTATGTTTATTTATTTACTCTTAAGATACCTTGTTGTATGATTTTGAGACGATATTGTACGATTTTAGGAGTTTGAGGGTAAACAGGTCTGTAATAAACAAGAAAATCTAGGTCCAATAATTTAAAATGGTAAATTAAGGCGCACGTGTGAAGATCTCCTGGTATTCTAAACAAAATATTGAAATTTAAATTGTATCACAACTTCTCGTGTTCCGTGCGTTTCAAGTACCGTCAGAGGCCGAATGAACTGGCCTCGAATGAACTGACCTCGCGTGCCTTAGCTGAAAGATTGTTTTGTTCATTTGCTTCACATCCCCCTCCCACCCCCGACAGAATAGCCATTTCAGAATAAAAAGCTAAATATAAAATTAGAACGTAGCTTATTTTTTTTAGAGCTCCAGTACCTCAAAATGATAGTGAGTAGTAATTGATGATATACTATCATAAGACCAGTAGTAAGTAAAGCTAGTGAGACTTGGACCCCTACCAAAAAAGCAGCGAACCTTCTCAATACATGGGAGAGAAAAATCCTCAGCAAATTATACGGCCCAATGATTGAAAATGATATCTGGAAATATAACAAAGATACTGGAAGTAGATGGTGCCAGGTGTAATACAAGCCAAGAGCTACACCAATAGTACAAAGAACCACCCATAGTCCCACAATAAAAAAAGGCAGACTGCGCTGGGCAGGACATATTGAAAGGATGCCAGAATGTGGAGCAGCAAAGGTGATTCCTAGGCAGAAACCTAGGGGCAGACGACTCACTGGTCGCACAAGGCTGAGATGGATCAAGGATGTGGAGAGGGATTTACACCACCAACCCCCAACTGGTTCGGAAGGCCATGGATCGAGATCCACATGGAAGTATGTGGTGGAGCAGCCCATGGCCCTACATGGGCTGTAGCGCCACTGATGATGATGAGTAATTGATGATAAATTAATGAAATGAGTCAAGTGAACTTTCATCCCTAAAAATCATTCTTTTCCTTGCACTTGGCCAAAAATGCCGCCTATTTGTGTATAGAGAAAAAAAAGTGGTCCCAGGGATGGACAGACAACACACCCCCTCACACCCCCCCCCCCCCCCCCATTCCTACGCCACTGTGTGTGTTAAACTATGTAATAGCTGACAAACACAGATTTCAGAATAAAAAAAATTCCACTTGTCTATTTTATTGAGCCAAACACAAAATGCATCAACATCTTTTAAAGGTAAAGTCTTTCATGAAAATGAACATAAGTGTCTTCAAAATTTAACATTCGAAGCAAGTCTATATGTAAAGCCTTTTACTTTTACAGTAAAGCTAAAAATATTTCTAATCACATTATAAACTCTAATCGCATTGTTAGTGCTGTAGTGACCAGCGGGAGGGGGGAGAGAGAGAGAGAGAGAGAGAGAGAGAGAGAGAGAGAGAGAGAGAGAGAGAGAGTGCGTGGGTGGGCAGAGATAATCTCTCTGTATGGTCATTCATAGAAGCGAAAGGTAAACGAGGCCTGTCTTCTTATGATCTATATACTTGTGGGAGGGGGGGGAGAGAGAGAGAGAGAGAGAGAGAGAGAGAGAGAGAGAGAGAGAGAGAGAGAATGCTTGGCTGGGCAGAGATAATCCCTCTGTATGGTCATTCATAGAAGCGAAAGGTAAACTAGGCCTGACTTCTTATGATCTATATACTTGAGTTAGTCGTGCTTGTCAGAATGCTAGTAGCAGTCAATTGTGCTTGAAAATTTCAAGCTGTTAAGTGAATAAATCCAGAAACTTTCTGCCCATCTGGCGAGGCCAGGCTAAAACTGTTCTCCTTCTCCAACAAATACTGAAGAGTGTTGAGATGTCTCTCAGGGGAGGCAAACAAAACCTCGGCCACCAAAAAATCTTCTGAAGACGGATCGTTTCCCATCAGCATGTCTGGCGACAAAGGAGACACTTGCTCCTGACTCGGTGATACAGTGTTTGGGAGAGCTCCAGTGTGAACGTCAGCCACCGGAGAGGCTTGCGGCAGTAGGGATGATGACAGGAGGCTGCTGCGCACCCTATCTTTTGCCTCACCGGCCACCCTTATCAACTTCTTGTTGGAGTGAGCGAGGATCAACGGAAAGGCGGCGATCTGTTCTTTAGTGAAGCCCGTCAACTGCAAGAAATCCAAATTCTTGGCAATATCTTGCACATCCGTGGAGCTGACATCGATGCCGCTTTCGTACATGGTTGTCACCGTTCTGTTGTCAAGCTTCAGCAGGTTGCTGATCATGAAAAAAATTTGCCGCCGTAGCCTTTTGGTGCTCAACATGGTTTTCCCCAGTTGAACTTTTGATTTTTTCGAAGACGGGAGGGTTGGGGAAACATTGCCAACATGGCAAGTCCAATCTGGCATTTAAAAAAACAAAAATGTTTCTTAGAATACTCAGATACATAAATTGGGGACATTTTTAACTACTGTCATTTTTTAAAATAAATTTTACTCACAACTGGGGTAAAAAAAATATGTTGTTCTTAATTTAAATTCAAGGAATTTATAGCATTTTACTTCCAACACTAATAGAGGAAATAACACTAATAGAGGAAATAACACTAATAGAGGAAATAACACTAATAGAGGAAATAACACTAATAGAGGAAATACATGCATAGGAGCCAAAATGATCAATAAATTGATCGTGGGCCCTTAAGATATAGAAGAAGAAGAAGAAGAAATAACACTAATAGAGGAAATAACAATAATAGAGGAAATGGTAAAAGTGTATTTATTGCACAGTATTGTTACTTTACGTCCACATGAAAATATTTACTAAAAATATGTCAACATATCTTCTTTAAATTGTAAAATATAGCCCGTTTTCAAGTATGCTATAGTTTATTAAATCCTATTAACTATTAAACAAATTTTTAAAATTCATTTTGGAGGGCATCATGTCATTTGAGGTTCCCTTTCAAAAATAAAAAAAAAAAATGATTACCTGATGAAGAATCGGTTGTTTCATCACAGGCTGCATGAGTTCCTCCATTCATTTCCAATGTGCTCTCCATGTGATGTAGAACATAAACTGAGGCCGGAAGACCAGATGTGCGGAAACATGTGGTCGCTGCGTGACATTTTTCTACCGGAAACCTGTAAACATGTGAATGATTTTATTTAAAGTCAGACATGGTTGTAAAGCTCTTAAAACAGGTTGGTCCTCATGACGTAACAGTATGGGATAAAAAGTTTCTATCCATGCAGCCTGGGTTCTGTCCCTTGGGAATTCAATATCAGTTTCATTCTCATAAACATTACCAAAGATACTCATTCAAAAGCCAGTTTGTTCATAGTTTTGGACAGGAAAAAGCCTTAACCTGCTCATGATTGACTCATAGTATATGTTACACTCCCTGTGTTGTTCTATGAATTAGAACAAGCTCGTGGTCTAGGGGAATATGAAAATGGGCTGACACAGGTAGATTATAGACACACTGCTGACTAAAATGAAGATAATCAGTTCTTTATATAAATGTACTTTATTACATGGAATATAATATGAATAAAGATACATAAAATCTACATATAAAAAAATGAATAAAGGTATAACAATATCTAATTTTCACAGTAATATAAAGAGTATTATCACTACTATGGGTTCCTGGAATTATTATTGCTGCTAACTATTGGATAGCCCAATCTAGTACTTAGCGTCGGCCACCGACCCCTTCGACGTTACCCAGGGAACAAGACCATTGTGGCGTGTCCTGCGTGGGCAGAATAAAACAGCACCTACAGGGATGCCAGCTGTGACAGTTCACAATTGGAAGCAAAGGCAGAGAAAGGTTAGGGATCATGATTACAAGTTGCCGTTAATGGATATGAGGCGAGAGGCAAAGGTGGTAACCTCTAGCCGATGATTCTTACTATGCAGCTCTGAGAAGCTGCTCCAAGGCAACCGTTTCGTCCCAGCTACTTCGCAAATTAGTTGTGTCGTGGAAACCCACTGTAGAAACCCTCTTAAAGGGCATCCAACACCTCCCCCATGAATGGGTGGGGGAAGATTTTAGGACGTTAATTTACCATCCCGACTCCTGAGAAATTCGATCGTGTGCACCGCATGCAAACACAGTGTCAGACCGACTGGATGTCTTTGGGTTGGGACGGCCCCCAGCGGAACCCAATTGAGCAGACTCGGGTGGGGGCTGTCCTGGCATGGAGACATCTCCAACGTGCCGCTTCGCGGCCGATACCGGGCTTAGGGGGATGCTTTGGGGAGGGCATAAAGAACATTAGCTCGACGGCCATAAGACGCCATTACTTAATGTGACATTTCAGCATTTAGCAAATGCCATGGAAAGCTAGTCATGCATCAATATGCTCATCTTGTCTCTCTCTAACTGTAGGAGAATACAACCAGTATACTGATACTTATACTGATTCATTTCGTGTGGCTTAATAAGTAAATGTAGGCCAAACGTGAACTGCAGATGCTGGTCTGGCACCTTATTATTGTAATGACTTGTCAACATTCCTGGAAGGTGGTATGTTGACAAGGCTAGGTCTGTGGGGTATATAAACAAAACAGTCCTACCACGTAACATATGCTCAAGTAAGCAATAGGGTACCAAAAATATCTAGGATAAGACACAAAGGCCAGGCTTTTGTTCATTATAATTGACTTTTAGGTTGCAATTTTCATTACACCTGGCACCATCTACTTCCTGTATCTTTGTTATATTAATATTTTAAGCTTCTGTTAACATATTCAAATTTCATAGAGCATAAAGTAAACTAGGACTTTGACGATCTACGAGAAAAATTTCATTATTCAATGTAACCGGAGAAAATTATAAAAATCTCCTATAAATCACATAAGCTGTAAATCCAAATTTTTCGCCTGAAAATATTTATTAAAAAAATAGGATTAGAACCAGTATACTGTAGGGCAGTGGTCTGCAAACCGCAGAACCGCGGCTTGTGAGCCGCATGCGGCTCTTTAGCGACCTGAGTGTGGCTTGGCCAGTCGTCCACTGCATCAAAGTTTGTTGAATAAAATCCCCAAGCTGTCAATTAGTTTCAATATTTTGAGGCAAGGAAGAACTTACGTATCAAGCATTTTGAGATGGTTGAAGATATCTTGTTTTGAGATGCCAGCATTGAGACACATCTGGATTTTGTACTTGAGTTCAACTGTGTTGTGAATACGAAATCCCCAGCAAGCCTGTGAAAAAGATTAAAATCAATAAATAAAAAAAATAGGTTCTAAAAAAAAATTGACAAATATCCTATACATGTCACTTGAATTAAGGTGGTCCATGGATCAAAAAAATTTTTTCTATGTTTCTTAAATTAATTTTTTTTTTTTAGTACATACTAACTATACACCAATAAAAAGACAAAAAAACATAGAAGTTTATTTTTAAAAATTTTTTTGGAACTTTTATTGCAAAAAATATATAATTTTATACAAATATTGATAGTTACGCAAAATGTATCAACACCAAAAGGTTTATCAACATCATAATGAAACTTTGCACACTCAAGAGTACAGTTGTTAAAAAAATGACACCCAGCTTTCTGCATTACAATTATTGGAGCATCTACAAATGACATATTTGTGGAGTCACATAATTTTTTGGCAAAATACCGGGGGAAGCATATGTAAAAAAAATAATTTTAAAAGTTCTGTTGGACAGATCTGAAAAAAGGAGGTGTCACTATGTAGATAATATCAATGGTAAGAAGCATGGAAAGTTTGAAGCCTGTAGCTTTTATCCTGATACAATTGGCATTCCTAAAAAATCTGAAAAACATAAAATTGAGAAAAACGAAAAAGAAGTCTAAAATTGTTTTGTTTTTTTTAAAATTAAAGACTACATGAACAAGATTTAATGCATATAACATGTACATCTACTAATTCATAAATGAAACACCAATATAAAAACACAGATATAAAAGATAGAAATTTAACAAAGTCATATTTTCAAACATCAACCTCCCTGTCCCAAATAAAAAGTGTCAAACAATAAAAATAATTTAAACATTTCTGTTGGACAGATCCAGAGGAAGGAGGTGTCATTATGTATATAATACTAATGGTAAGAAGCATGGAAAGTTTGAAGACTTTATCTGTAATACTTTTCCTCCTAGAAACATTTTGCATTCCTGAAAAATCTGAAAAACGCAAAGTTGAAAAAAAACGAAAAATAATTTTTTAAAAAATAAATACTATTTGAACAATATAGGATGCATATGCCATGTACATGAACCATACATAAATTTTAAAAAAAAATACAAAACACAGATATAAAAGACAGAAAATTAATAAAATAATTTTTTCAAAATAACAACCCCCGACCCAAAAAAAATGTGTATAATAATAAAATAATTAAAAATTCCTGTTGGACAGATCCAGAGGAAGGAGGTGTCATTATAAGATAAGATAAGATTCTTTTATTGATCCAAATAAATGGAAATGTTTTTGATTGAATTATACATTTCCGGCACAAAAATAAAACAATTTGAACACAAGACATTTATTATAAATTATTTCAAACAGCCATTCAGTGAGTTCTCTTGGCAAATATCTGGGACTTATGAGTTCTCATTCAGATGTGTGACTTCAGAGTAAGCATGCCGGTAAATTCATATAGATTGGTGAACAAAAGAATTTGTATATCTGTCAGTCCTCGCCCTGATGGAAAGAATTCGTCCCAAACGGCCCGATCCTAAGTATCTGTGATGAAGAGGGTGGGATGTATCATCCAAAATGTGTTTAGTTTTACAAAAACATCTTTCTTCAAATAGTTCTTGAAGTGAAGGATGTTTAGTTTGTGTTATGTTCCTAGCTTTCTTGATTAGTCGGTTTATGCGGTGTTTAATATCAGACACCAGCAGGTAATACTGAAATTAAGCAGGCTTCCAATAGTTGCACCGTAGAATCAGTTAACGACTTGCTTGTTTACGCCGAAATTGTACAGTTTTTTGAGGTAGAACAGTCTTTGGTTTAATTTCATATACAGCATTTGGCCGTGCTCATGCCACGTCAACTTATTATTAATGGTGACACCTAAGTACTTGTATGCCTCCACTTTCTCCTCATTTTGATTTTTTATGTTGAGATCTGTAATCTGGTGTTTCCCCCTCCTGAAATCAACAACCATTTCTTTTGTTTTTGAGACATTCAACTGGAGAAAATTTTCATCGCACCAATTGATAAAGCTTGTAACTAAGTTGCGGTATAGGCTTTCTCCTTACGAGGAAAGTTTCTTTATCATAAGGTGTGGTTGGATAGTGTTAAATGCTGATGAGAAGTCTAAGAAAAGCACTCTGGCATATGTTTTAGGACTGTCTAGGTGATGGTAAAGTCTCTCCAACAATAGTAAGATTGTGTCCTCCGTACTTCTGGCAGGTTTGTAAGCAAATTGGTGGGGGGTCAAGTTTTTGCTGTACTTCATTCAAAATTTCTTTCAGAATTATTTTCTCAAAACATTTCATGACAATAGAGGTAAGTGCAACAGGTCGTAAGTCGTTGTTGCACGTTACCCCAATTTTCTTTGGAATTGGCATGATTTCTGAAGTTTTCCAAATTGCTGGTATTGTGTGAGTTACATAAGATTAATTAAATATGTAACAAAAAATGTAGGAGAGCTGCTCTGAACATAGTTTAATGAGCCAACCACTTAATTTGTCTGGTCCCGAGGCTTTGGCTGCGTCCACTTGGTTAAATAATGACATCACTCTCTGTTCGGTAAACAATAAAATACCATCCTGTGTACTACTTCCATCTTGAAATGAATTCATCATCTCATTGTACACTCTTCCAAAATCCAGGCTGCTTTAATGCATTCCTGATCGTAATCTTAAACATGATCTTCTTTTGGTGTATGGCCTCCTTTATTTCTCTGCTCATCCAGGGTTTGTTGTTGTTAAATACTCGGATCGTCTTTTTGGGAATAATTTCGTCTACACAGAACTTAATATAGGAATTGACGGTATTTGTGAGCTCGTCAATGTCCGGGCAAGTGTTTATAAACGTGTCCCAGTCTGTACATTCCAAGCAGGCTTAAAGTTTTTCTGTCGCCTCATCTGACCACAGTTCAATAAATTTTGATTGAATTTTTGTTGTTTTTAAAACTGGCTTATAGCATGGCGTTAGGCGGAACATTATGTGATCGGATTCTCCAAGTGGAAATAAAGCATGACATATGTAGACCTTTTTATATTACCATAACACATATCCAGAGTTCAGTCTTGTCGCGTGGGGCAAGTAACGTACTGGATGTAAACAAGACGAACGGAGTCTGGGTTGTTTCAAAATCATGAATTACATCCAAAAGTCTCTTAGTAGCCTGCTCCTTGTTAGCATTAGGTGGAATGTAAGTAAGGATGATACAGATTTGGGTGAACTCCCTAGGTAGGTAAAATGGCCTTAAAGTAATGCAAGAGTAGTTCTATGTCGGGTGTACAAACTACATGTTTCACTGTACTGTTGTTGATGCTAGAGTATTTTTTGTTAATATATATTGCCAATCCCCTCCCTTGGATTTGCCGCTGTTGGTTGTTCTATCGGCATGGAAAAGGTTAAATTCGTCCAATGCCACTGCTGAATCTGGTACTGTTATTATGTAGATAATATCAATGGTAAGAAGCATGGAAAGTTTGAAGCCTGTAGCTATAATACTTTTCCACCTGACTCGGTTGGCGTTTCTAAAAAATCTGAAAAACGCAAAGTTGAGAAATACGAAAAAAATAATTTAAAAAATTAAAACTACTTGAACAATATAAGAGGCATTTAACAATAACATATGCCATTCATACATAAAAAAACAATATAAAATCCTCTTGATACATCTGGCAACAACAGAATAATTGAAAATTTGTTTGTCGAGAAAAAATCAAAATGAAAAATATCAATAAAAACAGCTACAGACACATTCCAATTTAGCTGATGAATTAAATAAGCATATAAACAATTCATTACTTGAAAACAATGAAAAATACAGTGAAATAAGTTTTATAAAACAAAGCCAAGGAGGAGAGCGAGAACATTTTGAAACCCCTCCTAAATAATTTTAATAATTCAAAAATCTTTTGAACCCCCCCCCCCCCCAAATACTGCGCACCCCATTCTACTACTGCGCACCCCCTTCTACTAGTAAAAGCCTATCTGATGCCCTCCTTTCCGCCACTCTAATTAGTTCCCTCCTCCTCTTTACATTTAATTTTAAAGCTGGCTCAGCTTTCCAAACTCTAACCCTATCCCTCTTTTCCCCCAGCTGATGTGTCATATGTCCTATTCCTAAGCCAACGGAAGATAAAAAGTCTTGGGACGCCTTTGAACCCATATTGAATTCTCCAACACCCACGGCTACAGAAATTTCCAGCCTTGACCCTTTGACAAAAATGTGTTTGGGGCATCGGGTCCATATGAGTGAGTGGATGCACTCATTGACGTTCTGGGTTTTTCCTTGAAGGCAGCGGCGTAGCAAGTCCTCGTTAGTCATTTTTTCGTAAACATCTTTCACATATTCAGCTACCGTTGGGTTTAGATATGTTGAAATATGCGAAGGACGTTTAGGGACAACTAAACCTTTCCCCAATGTCTTCTTGAAAAAACACCAGGACGTCTCACCATCTGGGCAGTCATCATGGCGGGTTCTTCATTAGTTGAAGTGCAATGCCAGAATCCTGCCCAAATTGCCTGCTTCATATCTTCCACACTTTGGTTTGATCTAACAGCCTTAGTTAAATATTTCTGTAGCCGTTTGATCTCGTCCTGGGTAAGGCGCAACACCTTTACCACCAAATGTTATCTTTTGCTTTTTTTTTTTTTGTATCCACCAGGGTCCTCAAAGCAGTTCCAAGTCGTTTCGAAACATGGTTTACGCACTCATGCTTTTCCACAACCAAGCCGGGATACAGATTAGAATTATGCATCGACTTGATAGTGTTTGTGTCTCCATCTCCATTGGACACAACAGTAGGATAACGTAAACCATGTTTCGGAACTGACCTGCCCCACATTGCAACAGCAGCCTGTTGCTCCATGCTGCCACTAGACCCTGAGTGGTTGACATCCCAGGATACTTTATGGCCCTCCATCCAAGCAATATACTTGGTCTCACTCTCCTCCCTCATCCTCTTAACCGTTGTTGGACATTTCTGGCAAAACTTTGAGAGGCACCTCTTCTTCATTTTGCTCCCGATAAGCTGCCTCCACTGCAAGCTCCAACAACTTATCCTTCTAGGCTGGTAGTGATTGATGCAGGATGGTAGGATGTTGGTCAAATGACTTTTGATGAATGTTTGGTACATTAATTTTTTCAAAAAACTTCCCCATACCAGCATGCATCCAGCATCCAGTCACTAATGATGTTGCCACAGCTCTCTTGTTGACATCAAAAGTTTTGCCATTGCATACAATTGAAAGTAAGATGACTTGTAAAAATAATGCTAACCCAATGGGTTTCTCTTCATCATTGTTGACCATGAAGTGTCCCTCCTGGCATTGCGGGCATTGAAACTTTTCAAAGAATGGCTGGAGGGCATCTATCTGTATGATAGAAGAGGCAGAGAGGCCTACGGAACGATAAAACTCTAAAGAATTAAGCTTTTTCTTCGAGGCAGACGATTCACAGCAAAATTCCCCATAATCTCTTCTGCTCCTCTTGCTATTGGTAAAGCTTGTGGTGAAGCTGGTGGTGTAGCTGGCAGTGTGGCTGGTGCTGAAGCTGGCAGTGTGGCTGGTGCTGAAGCTGGCTGTGAAGTTTGGACCCTGGCCCTGTACTTTTCTCCTTTCGCGCTATTCTGGCTTTCTCAAGTTGCTTGGATCTCTTGGTCTTGGGGGCCATGATTCTCTGTACTATGAACCCCCCAAAAAATGTTTTAATTGGCTTTTAAAAAATAAAATAAAACTATATTAGGCTTAGCCCCTAGGCAAAGGTAAATATATAATTTCAGAATTATTGTTAAGGAATGGAAACATTTCTATTATTATTTTTGTTTAATTTTTAAAAAAAATACAATTTAGGAAACTCTAGGCATACTTATTCAAATTCAATTTTTTCATTCTTTTGACATTTATCATTTCATTATGATTATCATCTCATAATAATATTGTTGTCAAGGACAACAAAAATGAAAAAAAAAATAAATTATTATATTACACCAAATTACACACGTGTAAGGACACAAACGTAAATGAAAAGAATAAGGAACGTTTCGTAATGTTATAATTATGTATAAAAATTTTGTATAATTAGGCATAGAGTAGATTTTAATTTAATTCATAGGCCTACATCTATTACAGTGTGTGTATATATCTGTTTCGTAAAATTATAATAATACTAGTAGTAGGCCTAGGGATAATGACCACTGTATTATTATAATAAACCTAGCTCAACATTCCCTGGAGCGCCAAAAACTAGCTATAATTGTTTATTATAAATTACATTATACAATAATTAATTCAACTTACCTTTTCAAAGCAAGAAAATAAGTTCAAATTTGAATTTATTTGAAGACTGCAAAAGTAAAGTAGATCGTTGGAAACGGGTAATGCTGACTGGACGCAATGATACGGAATGAAAATGGGAGGACGGCATTGCATTGTGGGATAGATTTGTTCCATCTAGGTCACATCTAAAATTAGCCGACCAATGATAATGGCTTATAAATTAAAAATTTAAATCTCGACCAATGAGAAAATGCGTTTGAAGAATTTCTGTAGGGTTTGCTGGACGGCAGTTCCCGCCAGCCTTATTTCTGGATATATTAGTGGGCGATACCATTACCAAGTAAATAGGCTAAGTTTTCGATCGATACCACATATGACTATATTGCGTTGTAATTGTATTATAAAAAAGGGGGCGGGCCAGGGGGTCTATGAGGCCTGAATTTTGCCCCCGAGGTCAAAATTTGCTCTTACCATACTACTTTAAAATACATTTTTAACAACTTTTAATAATTTTTTTATGAAAATGGTAAAAACCAAAATGTTCTTTACATGTTTATCTAGCAAAATTCACCATAAATCTCATTTTTTATAAAATTATATAAAATATCGATATTTTCCCCCGTGGATCACCTTAAATTACCTGGAATTCTGTAAGACTAACACCAAGCATATTTGCCATTTCTTGAATCTCATCCCCAAGGGCTAGCTGCTCTTTGAAGGTGTTCAGTTTTTTGGCAAAGAAAAGCTTTACAGGAAAATGTGGTAATGTGGTGTGTAGTAAAGTCTTCTCGTACAATTCAATCTGGAATTGATAAGATATAAACACTCGCTAGGTATGGAATAATCAGATATCATTTTGCAAGACTACATCAGCATAACTAGAAAACATATTAATTATAATTATTTTTTTATAAACCCAATATATGTATATGAATATGATTTTAAAAATATCATCTTTTTTTCCATACTGTTCGTCCCAGACAAGGTCATACTGAAATTATTATAATTGCACGGGGAAACAATGACACATTGCAAAAAATAATCAATTTTAAGAACTGAAAAAGTCACTTTTTCTTGTCCCATAATCCTCCCATTCATTACCACAGATTGGTAACACCACTTCAACCCAAGCCTGCAACTTATTACTTTTATTGCAGGACGAACTCACAATGCCTGGGATTTTTCTGTGGAAGGATAATCTGGTACCATATGACAGCAGATCGGCTCTCTCCAAGCACCCGGATAACCCAAGGGAACATCATATGTGGATGATTGTGGTGCACCAGTAGTGTCACAGGAGTTGTCGGAATTTTCATTGTGTCAATGTTATCCGCCTAAGGGACCCCATTTACGGGTTTGAATTCAGAGTTTTCATTGTCATAGATGAGTTGCCATCCCAGGCTAATGAGTCCCATCCACCTGGGGTGATGGTGATGTTTTTGCTTGTCCAGGCTTTGACGGGGATTAAACTCCAGAACACAAGCTTTTTTGATTCACCCAGTTTAGACTGCTCAACCGCACACTATTGTAATGTTATTGAATTGCATACTGTTCCATACCATTATGGTTTTCATATAATCTGTGTTAAAATTTTGCTCATAGAATGAACAATGTGAAACAAGAGACTGAGAAAACATAATGCAAAGAAAACTATACCAAAGCTAATGATACTAACAATATTAAATTTCAACAAAATTAAAAATTTGAATACAGAAGCAAAAAACTATATCAACTTAAAGCAAGTGAAAAAGGTACACTCCTCAAAATAAAATAATTAATTTACACACCCACAACTATACATCTCGAATAGCAAAAACGTCTCAATTGCACTCTCTATCTGTCTCTCTGCTAAGAAAGCAGGCAATCTATTTACAGGAACTAAATCAGAACGTTCTATTACAGAAATTATAAAAATTGCATCACCTAATGGCATTCTTTAGAATAATGAGAACATGTTCGAATGTAGAATGTAAACAACTTTTCCTAAACGAGGGAGGGGTGGGTATGGGATAATACAGCACATTTACTCTGTGATGTCAGTATTAAGGCCATACTATTGAAGAAGACAAGTTTGGAGGCTTAAATTACTCAATGTTGATGTAAAATATAAGCCAAGCCCTATGCTGCACTACATCAAAATGGCTATCTCCAGTCATGCAAACCTGTTTGTTGATATCGATAGCAAATGCAGAACGTGCAAATGCAAAGACCTCAGAAATTATACTAAGCCACCATTAAGAATGTACCATGCTGTTACAAACTTCTTCGTAACTTCAAATGTTACGACCTTAGTTTAATAAGCTGAGGCCTTCATCAAATGTCGCGGCCTTCTTACGTTGTCTCCAGTTGCGACATTCTCAATACTTGACATGTTAGGATCTTCGTCCTTACACTTCAACACATCCCGCAGTAGTTACGTTTACTGCACAGTCAGCAGACTCCACGTTGTCTAGGGGTTCACAACACTTTCTTCATATCTATATATACATCACAACTCCAGCATAGAAATACAACAGTTCTTTATTTACAGGATCCAATAGCAATTCACAGTGACGACGTTCAATAGCGATAATACTAACTCTGACTGTCTCTCACTAACTCGGACTCTTACTAACTCTGAACTCTTACTAACACTCTCCCTGTCTCTCACTGACTCGGACTGACTTCTAGCTAACACACATCCCTTTTATAAAACCACACAACAACTCAGCCTACGCAAACGTGCAACACCACGGACTAACTTCACGCTCTGACCTCACGACCAACAACTCACAAAACACTCACGATCCACAACTCCCCCTACCCAACATTCACAACAACTCTCGCTCACAACATTCCTCCCCCCTTTCGTTGACATCACTCACAGTAGTGATGTCACACTCCAAAATGACATCACAAAATTGCAATAGCAAAAAATGAACAGCGTTATCCCTAGAATTCCAATATCAAGTACAAAATACAACAACTCTCGCTCACAACATTACAATGGTACTCATAGTGTTAACTACACCCTCGGCAAAAGATCCTAAAATAAAATTACATCAACATCAAAATAAACAATAACCATTCCCTGTTCTCAAAAACTAAAACATGACACACCAAAAAAAAATTTTCGACCCAAAAATAAGGGAAAAACTGACTTCAAGGAGAAAAAAATTGTCAACATCGGTAATCCTATGGACAGCCATTAATTGTCCCGCCAGTTAGTACACTCAATGAGGGTGGGATATTCCGCTTCTCTGTCGCTTTCCAAAAAGCGTGCAGATTTCTCCCCTCGCTCACAACATTGTCTATAAACATTACTTCTCTCCCCTGGCTTAACATGTCAGCCCCTACAAGCAATTTGAATAACACTTTACAAGGCAAAAAGTTACACAAAAATTCAAAACACATCGTCCAAATCAAACGTTCACATAACCCAGTGAAACTAAATTTACAATTCTCACCTCCCAACTCATGGCAAAACCTCTCAACAAAATGTAAACCGTCAATAAGTTCAAAACTGGAGCGCTCCCGGCTCTCATGACATAATACAATTTTATAATTCACATCAAAAACAAAATCAAAACATCCCCCACCTAAACCCACATGACATAATTTATTATGAAAAACATTATTTCTATCCCCTGGTCCCACATCAGGACAAAAGGTCACGTCCTCCACGGACTCAAAGTGACAACAGTCAACAACAAGACTGTCTGAGTCTAAACCAGACCTGCTACTACACTGGCTCTCACACCTCGAGCAACCAGTGACACAACTAACTTCAGCGTGTGGACTACGACCCTCGTAGCTCCATCTGAGGTCATTACCAATGACTTCAACTTTGTTCACCTTATGTCCCCCTCTCGGGACTGCCCTTGACAAGTTCACGACCTCCACGTCGTGCTCACCGTAACTTGTCCAGTCTCTGACACATTCAAACTCACAACACACACTTTCGTCACTCACACAACCAACAACTGCCTCGTTCACTAAATCAAAATCTTTTTTCAGTAAAAAATTTACATTTCTCTGTTGTACATTAAACGACTCTTGTACATTATAAGTATAAGCAAAAGCTGCATCAAAATCATCTTGTCCATCAAGACAGCCAACATTACCTCAATGTGGAACATCACTAACACTATTACTAACGTGTGGAACATCCATACCAAAATCACCACGTGAAGCCATATCCCTGTGCTCACACACAACACCCGTACCAAAAAACTCTATTTCGCCCTGTATCTCTTCATAGTGTGCTTCAACTATGCTGACCTCCTCCCTCGAAACTAAAAAAAACTCCTCGCCCCTACACTCAGTTATGCTTGCCCTCATTTCCTCAGGATAGTTGATCTCTTCCAGAAAATCTGACATTTTCTCAGTGACCTCTTTTTCCTCTGCTAACAAAATAATACATTCCTTATCATTTTCCCTAGTTTCAAATTTCTCCAACGGAACAATCCCCCTCTTTTCTGCCCCTGTGTCTTCAAAATATTCTTCTACTATTCCTAACTGAAAAAATTCCCATTCATCATTTCTCCTATTGTCCCCCTTCTCAGTTTTATTTTTATTATCTGCTAGCTCTACCCACGACTTGCTCTCCCTGCACCATCTCAGCACATCCCCTCTACTATTGACCTCATCTATTTTTTTCCCTTCTGTCATGTAATTACTATCCTCTCTTTCCCCTACTGACCAGTCATTTCTATCGTACGGATCTAAACAATTTATACTAACTACCCCGTTTATTCTATTCTCTTCAACTAAGTCAGTACTATTCTGTTCAATCTCATTTTCCTTGCCTAACGAAATACCTTTACGGTCCTCAACTTCTACTAAAGACTCCCCAGTTTCCTTAACGTTATTTCTACGTATCCTAGCCACAGGTCTCCCAGCCCTTTCTTCTTCTCTACACCACGCCTCAAACTCAGCCTCTTGCTTCTTTATTAGGTTCCTTTTCCACTCTCGTTTTTCCCGTGCTATTTTCTCATCTAGCTGTACTCGCTGTCTACCAAGTTCTGCCATTGCTAACTCGTGAGCATGTTCTTTATCACGCTCACGTTCTTCCCTCTCTAGCTGACGTTCCCGATCTTCCCTCTCTTCGGTTAACCTTTTTTCTATCCACTGAGTGATGGCTTCATCTTTATAGCCTATCGCCTCTGCCTCCTCCCTGAGCTCTAACACTCTACTTTTCTTCCCACTCCTTGTTTCCATTTTGAAATAATCTTAAAGCCCTCAATAGTAGTATAAGCAATGTTAAAAAAAATACATCAATCTTATACAGCAACAAATGTAAACTATACTAATTACCCGGTCTTGATCTTGGGTCCCAACGTAGCTGACATGCGTAGGCGTACAATCGCAGTAGGGTACATTCAACACGGGTACAGTACTAGTGTCAGTATTACAGCAGTGTCGCAACAAGCAGGGTACGACAACCTCACAGGATACGGTAACACAGGATACGGCAACACAGGATACGGCAGCACAGGATACGGCAACACAGGGTACGGCAACACAGGATACGGCAACACAGGATACGGCAACACAGGATACGGCAACACAGGATACGGCAACACAGGATACGGCAACACAAGATACGGCAACAGGGTACGGCAACCAGCAGGGTTGGCAACAGTAGGGTAAAGCGACCAACAGGGTATGGTAGCCAGCAGGATCAGCAAAACAGGGTACGGCAACCAGGCAACCACACAGGATACGGCAACCAGCAGGGTTGGCAACAGCAGGGTAGGGCAGCCAGCAGGATCGTTGCAGTTTCAGACGGGCCCCCAAATGTTACAATCTCACTGACTCGGACTGACTTCTAGCTAACACACATCCCTTTTATAAAACCACACAACAACTCAGCCTACGCAAACGTGCAACACCACGGACTAACTTCACGCTCTGACCTCACGACCAACAACTCACAAAACACTCACGATCCACAAATCCCCCTACCCAACATTCACAACAACTCTCGCTCACAACACATGCCACCTAAAAAGATTTTAAAAATAAAAAATGACCTCACCTTTTCATAAAAAAATTCATAACCCAAAAGTAGCTCAAGATTATTTAATATATCCTCAGAAGTAGCTCCCACAGATTGTAACCTTTTCACCTGAAGAAAACAATATTTGTTTAAGAGAGTTAAAGAGGGGCTTTTGGAAAACTAATCAAGGGATAAAGAAAAAACAAGACCAGTGTTAAAAATCCATTCCTGAAACACCCCGAGCCACTTTAGGTTTTCCAACACGTGTGTGTTTCCTTGAATCTCAAATTAGGTTTCAAATATTTATTTATTTAAGAAGCAATTAACCTAGGCCTAAATATGCTTTTTTTTCAATTTTTAACACAAAGAAGCAGTCTTTCATTTATTATTATTTAAATAAACAGTTAAAATATAAAGATCCTCCGTTATGAATAATAGGTGCAGCTCCCTGCTAAACAATAACCCTTGCCATTATGGACAGCCCCACAGCATTCATCCCCACTCTGCTACCTTTTTCAAAATAACGAATAAGTCATCACTGTTGCCTAGCTCAGCCAGCTTGTCCATTAATCCTCTGATGTCTAAATCTGGTTTGTTGAGGATCTGACACAGCTCTAGGTAGTCCTGCACAGTCCTTAAGCTGCAGAGTCTCCTAATGCCATTCTTCCTTTTCTTCATATCAGCTCTACAAGGCACTATGAAAATGCCCAAATTAAAAGGGGGAAAAGAAAAAAAAATTATTAGACTTATCTCTGTTGCTATATTTTAATCATATTAAGTGAAAGTAGACAGGTGGAAATTTTCCGTTTTAAATTAACAGTTTATATTCCATTTTTGCCATTCAAATAAAGTCAAGCTTTATTTATTATTGTGTGGTGTTCTAATATAAACTTGTAAATTAATCTACATCAGATTTACCTATAATGCCTGACATCTAGATATTTTTTTCATTATAATACGTAAATAAAAACTACAGAATTTGAACAAAATAAAATTATTAAATGATGATCTTACTTTCAAGTGACATTTCAAGATAAATGCGACGAATTAGAAACAAACTGAAGACATTATGAATATTATGCTCCTTTAGCTTGAGGATACATTCCAGAATCTCATTTTTAGACATCATCTGAACATCTGGATAGTACTCTAATTCATCATAAGGAATGCCTTGAGATTTCAAAAACAATTGGCACTCTTTGAAGTTTACTGTCTTTACGGGTACATCTTTGGACCTATTTCTAAATGGGTATTTAATGTTGATAAGTTTTACCATGTCAGGATGTTGTTTCACCTCATGTTTTCGACTTCGTTTTCTTTTTGTTGAATCGGGGGTTATCTCTATTTGTGTAACCAAAGATTTGGGAAATGAATGCCTTAGTTTACCAGTGTTTGATGGTTGTAATTCTGCTTTATACTCTTTGACAGCAGGACCCTCATTCAATTTATCTTTATATTGAGTCTCATCAAAGAATGAAAAAGGCTTTGGATTTTGATAAGAAAAAGTTTCTACGGGAGTTGATCTTCTATAAAATCCAGGGCGTATCATTAAATATAACATATTTATTTTCGTTCTAGACATTCGTTTTTTGTCACTCTGTCCGTCCTCATGAACCACCTGAATCTCATCATCATGCTTGTTTCTTAAGTCTTCTGACAATGATTGACGTTTGGAACTATTCCCAATGTATGCAGCTAACTTGCTGGATGTGTGAAATGTAGAGCTTGTGCAAATAGGCATTGAATGAGGACCAAATATTTTATTGGAGATGAGATTAAACTCTAAACCTCTAGAACTTTGCACTACACTAAATAAATGTGTCATTGGTACTCTACTATTCCTCCACACAAGTTTTAGACAGTAGTTGGCATCTAGTTGCCTGCCCAAGATAACATTCATTTTGCCTGTGGATAATAATAAAGGTTTTAAAATAATGTTACTCCAGTAAATACCTCACACAAGTCACACTCACAATTCAGAAAAAAGTAATATTTAAAAAAATTATAGTAAAATATATGTTACTTATAACTAATGGTAAAGCATAAGCATAGTATGATAGTTGTCTTACAGTTTAAGTTTGGGCTAATATTAGTATTAGCAGTAATAGGAATAGGGTTGGTTACCAATAAAACAGAAGTATTTTTTAATAAATAAATAATCCTTAAACGTTTATTTTTTATAATTATAATAAGCATTGTTCTGAAATTTTGGTTAACCAAGGGAAACAGTCAATAACATCTAGTAGTGTAGGCTAATATTAATTATTAATACTAATACAGTGCAGAGTAACAGTAACAGTACTAACAGAGGTCCATTTTAAAAGCCAAAGGCAGTTATGAGTTAATTCCAAGCCTGAGAGTGTCAGCTCTAGAGTAGAGTCTAGCCTTGCCTACGTCTTATTATTTATAATTATTAAATAAAGTATAAAGTCTATAACTAGACTGTAGACTGTAGTCATAGTTTAAAACACAACTTTTAATATTAATATAATAATATAAAAATATAGTAATAATAAAACTAAAACTTTTATAATTTTATGTATAACTTAACTTAGTCGACAACTTTAAAAAAAAAACCCAGCAACTTAAGCATCACCTTAGTTTTTTAATGTACTAAATGCATTCGTTGCTATGTAAGCCTAAGCGCATCTTCTTATTTAACTTTACTGGAGAGACCATTACCAGGTCATTCTGGTTATATAACCTGACCAACTTTCAGACTAAACTAATAACTAATAAGTAGTGCGGCTGCTCATGGTCCCTCCTGTTACCGAGGTGCAAGATTTATGCGATATGAGAAACTTGTATAACATTTGGCCCCTTGCAAATGATTACCGGTGTGCCTACCATGCATCTTGGCCTTGGTTTTACCAGGATCGTTTCGGTTGATCAACCTTTTACTGGCTGCTTTGATTTTTTTCTTTTGGGTCCCGGTTTCAATATCAGTTTACTAAAAAAATTGTATGAAATGTATGTGTCCCGTCTAAATATTTTTTCTTATAGTATCGTTGCCTTTTTTGTTAATGATTATTTCCATTAATATAAGAGTATAAGATCCTGCCAAGCATCAAATTCAAAACTAAATGATGTAAAATAAAAAAATATAAGTTTGGAAACTCATATTATATGAGAAGTCACATTAGGCTGCCATTAATTATATGATCAGTAAAAAATAAAATTGGGAAAATTATTTGTCTAACCATGCTATTCTAGCCATGCCGTGACTGATAATGTTTACATTAAATCTTTGGCTTATTTATTTACATTTTAATTCTGACTTACATTAATCATTTTCATGAATGAAATAACAATTTTTACAACAATGACCAATATTACCAGTACTGCAATGAATATAGAGGTGATTTATTTATTTATTTTTTAAATTGGGGGATTTGGGAAAAGGGGGGGGGGGGGGTTGAGGGGGGTTGCTAGGTTAATTAGAACAGGGGAAAATATTGGGAGAAAATTATTTTACTTAAATGACCAATATTACCAGTACTGCAATGAATATAGAGGTGATTTATTTATTTATTTTTTAAATTGGGGGATTTGGGAAAAGGGGGGGGGGGGGGTTGATGGGGGTTGCTACGTTAATTAGAACATGGGAAAATATTAGTAGAAAATTATTTTACTTAATTAATACTATTATACTATCACTGTAACTAGGACTAGGTCTTGTATTTGTAGGCTACTAGGCGCCGATTACATAAAAGTTAAATGCAAAATTATAATAATAAGCCTGTACCAACAAAAAATATGGCTGGGTGTTTATTTTTATGTAGATTTAAAATAAAAAGTGTCTATTTGTTTAGGATACTATCCACTCTAAACTTAATAAAAACATGAATATACATTTATTTAAAAAAACTTGAAAAATGGTCTACATAGGCCTAGGCTATTTGTTTCTTAAAGCGTAAAAATTATCAATTGACAGTGTACCGAGCAATATTCGTGCCCTGTACACTGTCTATGTTTGCATAGCCACTTCCCTAAAATATATTCGTGTTTATTTTCAACATGGCTAATACATCTCTTAATTCATATCTGCACTCTGTAAGTTCTCAGTGATTAAATTATATTTAATTATTTTCCAGGTTCTCGATTATCCTATTTTTGAATAGAAGAATATTTTTATCTAACGCAAAATCCATCAAGGCTATATGATCTCGGGATGTTTTTTGCCGTCACTGTTACTGTTTTAGCGTTACTTTTTTAAAACTTTGTGATTGCGTTACGACCCAAGGCCAAGACCCAACTTTGCCCCAAGCAATTCTGACACTGACACTTTGACTAAGTCAGTTAGTAATAGAGTTATTATAACTAGTCCTATATCCTATATTTACATGGCCTGCATTTTAAATGGATCTAAGTGAAGTGCAAGTATTAATTATCAAAATATGAACTATCAAGAACTGGATAAAATATATGAATGAATGATGATCAATTCCTCACGTCACAGCACCAACCTTTTTTTTTTTCTTTTTTTTTTTTAGAAAAAAATTATATTTGTAGACTGGAATTGAAAAGCTTGCTTTAGTCACTTTATTAGTTAGACCCCCTGGTCCTAGCAATTCATAATATTATCTCTTTATTTTACCGAAGTGATTATTCACAGAGCTGTGCGGATAACACTCGCCGTTATTCACAGATTTCGGTCTGCCGGTAACGCTCGACATTATTCGCAGAATGTGATAAATTAAATTATGAATATAGAATACAAAGTTCGCAAGTAAATAGCTCCTCGGTAGTGTAGTGGTCAGTATCTTCGCCCGTCACCCGGCAGACATAGGTTCGATTCCCCG